AAGGCTGGTCAGGGGAGAAAAAAAAATGCCCCAATACCCAGTCCTGAGAAGTGGAAGCCAGGAAGGTGCTACTGTGTGAGCTGTGATTATTTTTTCCGAAGTCTAAAAATACAAGAAAAGGAAACACACACACTCACTTGAGCCAACCTGACCAGAAGTGGGGAGAAGTGACCGCAGCGGCAGCTGAGAAATTAGACAGGAATTCAGGAATTTCAGGAACTCAGTGACCTGAGCCTGGAAATTCCACCCTGTGACGTGTCTGTGACCGGACTCTTGAGGCTGCAGACTTCCCATCAGTATCAGGAGCACTTTCCAGCAGCCTGGGCAGGGCAGAGAAGGAACAAGGAGGTGGGAGGGGTGCCTGTCAGCCAGCCCGGTCACCTTCTCTGGACCCCCATCTCCTCCTCTGTCGGTGCAGATGGATCCTGTGTAATCCCAGCATTTAGCCTTGCTAACAGCAATGACTGACACTTAACTACATGTCCATCAAACATCAACAATCTTGGAAATACCGTCTCCACTTTGCTGTTGACACGGAGGCTCAGAGAGGCTCTTTAAAAGGTGCCAGAGGGGGAGCAAACAGCGCTGGGCAGCCACTGAGGTGACAGTCCATTCTGAGGGTCAGATAGAAGCTAGGTACCCAGAACCCAGGGGGAAAATTATGATGAACTTATATACTCGTTTTATATTTTACTTGGAGGGGCTTTTTTCCAAGAGTCCCTAAGCCCATTAGTTAAGGAACCTGTATAGAAAGACCACTGAATTATCCCCCACCCTTCTATTCCCCCATAGTCCCAGGAAAGAATCCACAGCATACTTGTGCAGGGGGTCTTCTTGGCAGTCTGTCACCCCTAGTAACATCTACCATCCTGGGGCAAGGCTCTACTGAGTAGGTTTGAGAGGTCTTCCCAGCTGGGGTGAAACGGGGATAGGAGTGGCAGGTGGGAGGGAGTGGGCCAGAAAAACCTCTGTGGGCTCTGGGGAGAAGCCTGAATTGTGCTGTTCGGGAGGACAGCGCTCTTCCCTCGCCCCCTCAGGGTATCCTTTTCTGGCTGAGATTTGGAATTGCCCAGCCTAGAAGAGATGAAGGCCTCCTCCCTTAATTAAATGCCCAGAGGTTGCTATGGAAACCAGAGCTTCCAAATCCTGGTCAGACAATAGGGAGAGGAGCTGTCCCCTAGACAAGTGAAGCTTCAGGAGGCCTCATTGCTGACAGAGGAGGGGGCCACATGGTGAGGAATAGAAGGAGTGCCAACTAAAAAAAACAAAAACAAAAAACAACACCAAAAATCTCCCTCTCTACTTGAAAGTGTGTATATACTTGAAGAGACCTTTGAGAGCCAAGAAGGGGTCTATCTGAGGCATAACCCTCCTGGGAAGGGGAGGGGTGAGCTGCAGTTCAGCACCTTTCAGAACTGAACAACTCTTTTGTTTCTAGAGAAAGCCAGCCAAGTTGTTAAACAAAGAGAAGAGGCCAGAAGGCAGACCGCTAAGCGATAAGGCCCAGACTGCAAAGAGCTGAGTAATACAGCCCAGGAGAGGAGAGTTCCCCTGAGTCCTGTGACCAGTAGAATACAACAGTCCCACATACACTGTCGCCTGAGGCAGTAGGACACCCATGGGTGACAGATACACTACCCTGCAGAAGTTGTGCTCTTTGGGGACACTCAGGCCCTTCCTTTCATCCCACTTCTCCTTTAGTATTCCTCTTGGCTCTCTGCCTTGAGTTTCTTTTTAAAGGCTGAGACCTGACACTGGGACATCAGACAGACCTTCAAGGACTTCAGTGGGCCATGGGTGCCTTTACCTCAGTCAAGAGAGGAAAGATCTTACTTAGAAAACCTTCCAACATTACAGTGCCTTTGTGCCAAGACAGTGCCCACAGAAAAACAGCCTCTTCCTGATGCTCTGACAACTCTGTGAGGTTAACAGTACATGCCTTTTGCTTTTGTATCTTGTTTTATAATGAACTTATATACACATGTTATATTTAACCTGGAAGGGGGGTTCTTAAAAGCCCATTACTTGAAGAACCTTAACAGAAAGCCCATGTTGAATCATCTCACACCCATATTTCACCAAGGGTCTCATGTGGCTCAGGCTGACCTCACACTGTAGATGCAGCTGAGGATGACCTTGGACCTCTCACCCTCCTGCTTCAACTCCTGTGTGCTGAAATTAGAGGTCTGAGCCACCACAGCTACTGGGATTAGAGCTCTGGAATTCATGCTCGCTGGGCAAGCATTTTATCAACTGAACTATATCTACGGCCGCCAAATTACATTATTGCTTTTATTATTAACTAACATGTTTGTCATGAGAAAGAGGAACCTGAGAGAATATTAGGTATGCCAAACAGCACTCAAGCCAGAAAGTGGCAAAGCTGGCATTTAAAGCCAGGTTTGTCTGACTTGGTCACTTTTCTTGCTTTGCTTCACCAGCTTCTTGGAAGCTTGTGAGCAGGCCCACTCTGTTCTGATTCCTTCGGCTCCCACTCAGTGTTACCTAAATACTTCTGTAGAAGCAGTTCCCAATTCTAAGCTGCTTATTTAAAGAGTTTATGTATAACTTGACTGCTTGGAAGAAAAACACATTTTTTTCAGAGGCAAAAAAGAAAAAAAAATGTTAAATGGACCCAGAAAGGCCACTTGACCCAGAATACAGCTGACAGAGGTACATCTCATCCAAGACAAGCCTGGAGCCTCAAATAGTAATATTGTTTCCTAGAGAAATGTAAATGGTTACACGATGAGAAAGAAACCCTTTCTTCTTCTTTCTATGGACCTATTTTTTTCCACCCAGTAGGGTGCTTTGTGGGAACGATGTACACCTGGGTGCTGGCCCCAGGGAACATTTTAAAAGAAGGAACCAGGGGAGGAAAGTAACTAGAGCTGAAAGAAATAGGCAGGTTTGGAAAAGCCTGGATGATGGTGGGACAAGCATGGTAGCTGTCTGCACCTGTCAGGGAGAAAGATGAAGACGATCAAGCAACACTGTAAAGGGCAGAAGTGGGAGAGGAGGAAGGCTTGAGTGAATGTGTCAGGAGGAATGACGTCCTAAGTAAATGTGTATTGTGGACAACGTGGTGGTTTGAATGGGAATACTACCCCCCCCATAGCCTCATATAATTGAATGCTTGGTCATCAGGGGCGGCACTACTTGAGAAGGATTAGGAGGTGTGGCCTTGCTGGAGAAAGTGTGTCACTAGGGGTGGGCTTTGAGGTTTCAAAGATTTTCTCTCTTCCTGCTGAGGATGGATCCAAATGTAGAACTTTCAGCTAGTTCTCCAGTACTGAGTCTACCCGAGTGCTGCTGTGTTTCCCACCACGATGACAATAGGCTAACCCTCTAAAACTGTAAGCAAGCTCCCAATTAAATGCTTTCTTTTATAAGAGTTACCAAGGCCATGGTGTCTCTACACAGCAATAGAACACTGACTAAGACAGACAAGGCTGCCTCAGACTCATGGGAATTGGAAAAACCTTCTTCCATAGGGTCAGAATATGAATGTTGACAGAGTATACAGAGAACATCTCCCACAGCTTTCTCCTTTCAGTATGTTTGCAGCCGGAGACTGCTGCTCCCCTACAGAGGCCTCCCACAGAAACTAGCCAGGCCCTCTTTCTCATACTGTACATAATAAACACACTAAGGTTCCAGGTTCTTGTATACTTGGTGACACTCCATCAGAGAAAGCACTGCCCACATGATCCCCTGCTTTTCTGTGATGTGCCCATGTCTTCATCCTCTTATTGCCCCAGTCTGGATCCTGGTACCAAGCCATGCTGGACAGACTGGAGAGACCACAGAGAGTGAGTCTTCCTGCCTCCTCCTGCCTTCACTCCAGAGCTTAGCCATGGGCTGTAGTATGACATTTCCACACATGGACACAGCATGAAATGACCAGACTAGGGTAGACAGCACTTCTGTCAGCCCAGATTGATGTTCAAAGGTTTCTTGTGAAGTTGTTTTCATTTTGGTTTGGTTTTTTAAGATAGGGTATCTCTTTAGTTTTCCAGCCTTTCTAGAACTCCATCTGTAGACTAGGCTTTTCTTGAATTCACAAAGATCCACCTATATCTGCCTCCTGAGTGCTGGGATTAAAGCCATGTTCCACCACCTCCTGGCTTTGGCTTTGGATTTGAGACAGGGTCTTGGCTGGCCTGGAACTTGCTCTGTAGACCAGGCTGGCCTCAAACTCACAGGGATCTGCCTGAGGATTAAAGGTGTCAATCACCATACCTGTCCACCCCCCCGCCCCCACCTACCTCTTTTCTTTTTGAGACAATATTTGATATGTAGCCCAGGCTGGCCTCAAACATGTGCAGTTCTCCAGTCTCCTGTGGTGCCACAGGGATGACTACCCCCAAGTGTCCTTGGCTGCTGTCTACCCCTCTCTGCCTCTGTAGCACCCTTAGTTTAGCTCTAATGGGACAGGACACAGGCTTCTTCATGACCACTGTCTTCAGCACCTCCGTCATTCTGCTCCAGCCCCATCCTCAAACATTCTGTACTTCCCCACTAATTCCTGGTCAGCCTCAAGTGGCTTCCTCTCCCTTCCCTTCCCTTCCTCTCCCTTCTCTCTCCTTCCCTTGCCCCCTCTTCTCTTTCCCCCACTTCCCTTCCTTCTCTCTTTTTCTGGTACTGGGAATTGAACTCAGTACCTTGTACAGCTAAACAAGTATTCTACCTGAGGTGCATCCTCAGCACACAAAAGAAAACAACAAAACAAGAGGGGGGGAGAGTCTAGCTCTCTCACCTAGACTGTTTTGAACTCTGTAGTCTCTGTAGTCCAAGTTGGTTTTGAGCATTTATCTTCCTGCCTCAATCTTCTGGGTAGCTGGAATTACAAGTACAAGCCACCACATGCAATTCTTATTTTCATTTTTTTCTCCTTCTAGACCTATCTTCACACACACACACACACACACACACAAACACACACACGCCACACCAACATACTGTTCCCAAGGCCTCTATCTTTTACTTCCAAGCCATGTTAGTGTTTTAGATTCTAGAGTCTAGAACTTTCCCCTTACTCCAAGCAGCTCCCAGCATGCTATCACTTATTTACATCATAGCTCGGTGCTATTTCTCTCAGGGTGTTTTCCTGGGAGATTCTCCTCTGGATCGGTTTTCCATCTGCTGACTCAGCAGATGTCCGGAATAGGCCCAACTCCCAGGAAAGAGAGCAGAGGAGTGGCTGAGGGGAAAGGTGCAGCCTCTGGCATCCGGGCACTGGGCAGGCAGGCAGGCACTCAGAGCAATGTTTTGCTTTCCTCCAGTTGAACATAAGCCATTTCATAAGACCATTATTAGGCAAGACCATGATAGATGAAGACAGGAAAGATGATCTTTCCGTAATCAGATCTGAATAGAGGCAAAAATAAGAACATAAGAACACATTCAAGGACAGTGGCAGTGCATGCCTTTAATCCCAGGAAGAAGGCAAGCAGAGCTGTGTGAGTTCCAGGCCACCCTGGTCTACAGGGTGAGTTCTAGGACAGTCAGGCTACACAGAGAAACCCTGTTTCAAAAAACAAAAACAAGCAAACAAAAGGACATGTTCAAGCCACAGGAGTAAGAAGACACGCACCTGCCCTGTTAGTGTGGTTGAGCCTCCTCCGTGAGTCACATCTTTAGCCTGCTTCATTCCACCGCCTTCTCAATACAACTTAGTGTGATGCTTCGCTTTCTGACAGAGTCCAATCAGAGTTTCACTCTCAGATAATCAAAGTTAAGTTCAAACTCCCAGTCTCTCCTTACAGGGAACATTGGTTGTACCATATTCTCTGTGATGTATGCCCATGTTGCACTGAGTCAATAAACCCAATTTTGTGCATTTTGCCGGTGTCTGCTGGTTGCCTTTGGCTAGAGGACATTCACAGTCTAGAACAATGGGTGGAAAAGATGGAAGGAAGAAAACAAGAGTAAGTATATTTCTCTGGGGAGCAAACTCCCACATCTTTGCCTGTGAAATGTATTTTATGGTATTTAAGGTATTCTTAGGCAAACTTCTCTACTCCTTACCCTGCACCGTCTGCTTCTGACAGGATTCTCCAGTACTCAGTTATGCTTCAAGCACTTCAGAGCATCCCACATCTTCCCGCCTCTGCCTGTCCTGTGTCAGAACTGAGGTTCAGGTAAACCATGAGCTCTGATGGTCCCCTAACCAGATCCCCATCCCCCATTCTTCTGGTGCTCTACGTACCCAGCAGGCCCCTTGCATGTTTATTCCTCGAAAGGGCAGAGACTTCTGGGATAAGGAGAAGTGACAACTCCCCACTTGTAGCTCCTGAGTTCTATTCAGGGATATCGCTCTTCAGATACCTGGAAGACACAGGTGGAAGGTTCCTGGGGGCCCTTGGCATGAGTTCCCAGGGCAGGAAAGGTGCTGAGCTTGTGAACTCTCTGGTAAATTCAGGGTGAATTTTATTTGCTACTGCCCAGAACATCTTTGTGTATTATGCCTCTGTCCCAGAATGAGACCTTATCTCAGTAATCGGAACCCAAAAAAGAGCATGTGGTTCTCTCTCTCCCCCATCTCCTTCTCTCTCTATCTGTAGGAGTATTGCACAGTTTAGTGATTTTAAACTGTGTTCTCTGGGGCTTGTCCCTTGGAGGACTGTGGGGCCGAATGAGCCCCACAGCATACCCCCAATTCTAACTCAACTAAGGGAAGTTTCATTTCCATCATTATGCTTTAAGGCTTTTTATAAAATTCATTTTAAAGAATTAGCTTGTGGGTTTAAGTGGTGAGGAGAGCAGGCCTGGGATATTGGAGATTAGGTTTCTTTTTAAAAAAATAATTTATTTATTTTTATGTGTATTGGTGTCTTGCCAGCATTTATGTCTGTGTGAGGGTGTCAGATCCCCTGGAACAAGAGTTACAGACAGTTGTGAGTTGCCATGTAGGTGCTGGGAACTGAACTCAGGTCCTCAGGAAGAGCGCCCAGTGCTCTTAAGTACCAAGCCATCTTTCCAGCCCCCCACCTGGCTTCTTTAACAAAACAAAAACCCAAACAACAACAACAGCAAAGCAACAACTTGCAGGCTGGTGAGATGGCTCAGCAGATAAAGGCACTTGCTGCCAAGCCTGGCAACCTGCGCTGGATGCCCAGAATCCACATAATAGAAAGAGAGGACCAACCTCCACAAGTTTTCCTCTGACCTCCATAGGCAGCTGTGACATTCCCTACCTCCCACCCCCAATACCATTCAGCTCTAAAGAAAAAGCTAATCACAAAATTTGCAGGAAAATGGATGGACTTAGGATGTAAAATATTAAGTAAGTTCACCTAATCTCAGAGAGAAAAATAACCTCATGTTCTCCCTCCAATGCAGACCATAGCAGAATATATAATAGATACACATACATATATGCATATGTAAATGTAAACAAATGTACCTGTGGGTACAACATAACATGTAGAAAAGAGAACAAGAAAGGCTAAGTACTAGGAGATGACAGAGAACCAAATGCAGATAATGGACATGAGTTATTGGAAAGGATATAAAGCTAAATTATTTTTCTAGTTCTAACTCTGCCGTGGATTTTTCATTTTTAGTGGAGAGTGTCTAAAAATACATCCACTAGTGAAAGTGTAAAATCCAATGTGAAGCTGCACAGTTTCCATCCCCAGTGCTGCTCTAACTCTTTAGAAATTCACTAAAAGGTATATATAGACTTAAGATGTAGCTAACTTTTAAAATTATTTTGTTTTATACATGAGTATTGTGCTTGCATGTATGTCTATACGTATGTCTGTCTGTATGTATGTATGTAGGTATGTATGTACATATGTATGCATGTATGTATGCATGTATGTATGTATGTATGTCCGTATGTGTGTATGTGCACTACATGTGCATCTGGTGCCCACCTAGTCAGAAGAGGGCATAGGATGCCTGTAACCTGGGCTACAGATGACTGTGAGCCACCATGTAGGTTCTGGGACTCAAACCTGGGTTCTCTGTAAGAACAGGTGCTCTTACTGTTGAGTAAACTCTCCAGCCTTGGTCTGGTTAATTTTGGTGTGTAATTTTTTTTGCAAGATTTTTTGTTTTAGTCATAAAGTTTATAAAATAAGCCGGGCGTTGGTGGCGAACACCTTTAATCCCAGCACTAGGGAGGCAGAGGCAGGGGGGTCTTTTTGAGTTCCAGACCAGCCCGGGCTACAAGAGCTAGTTGCAGGATAGGCTCCAAAAGCAACAGAGAAACCCGGCCTTAAAAAAACCAAAAAAAAAAAAGTTTATAAAATAAAAATGCTAAAAAAATGGAAATCAGAACATAAAAGTTTCAAGGAGAAAATAAAAAGATGATAGGAACTACAAATGATATAAAAGCCATGGCCAGCTACAGCAGCACACGCCCGAGTTGTCAGACTCTTTGGCAGAATTTTTAATCTCTGAGGCATCTTACTGGCCCCATCTGCTCTTCATCTCATTGGATTTACCTATTCTGAAGATTTCATGTGAATACATCATAATGTTGTGGCAGATATTTGTTTAACTCTGTGAAATTATGTTGCATTTGCTTAACTGTGCGTTTGTTGATGTTGTGGAAATGTAAGGATGTGTTGCATTTGTTTATGCTGCATTTGTTTAATTATGCAAAGATGTGTCGATGTTTTACCTTGCCTGCCTAAGGTACCTGATTGGTTTAATAAAAAGCTGAACAGCTAATAACGAGCGAGGAGGTATAGACAGGGACTTCTGGGCAGGGAGAGTAAGTAGGAGAAGAAAGAAAAAGGAGATGACAGGGAGACGCCGGGGCCCAGCCAGCCAGACATGGAAGAAGCAGGAAAGTAGGACATACAGAAAGGTAAAAAGCCCCAAGGCAAAATGTAGATGAAGAGAAACAGGTTAAATTAAGTTAAAAGAGCTAGTGGTACAAGCCTAAGCTAAGACCAATCTTTCATAATTAATAATAAGTCTCCATGTCTTTATTTGGGATCTAGGTGGAGGCCCAAAGAAAATTCCAACTACATAGTATATTCTACATAATATATTGTATTTTGTAACTGATTTCTTTCACCCTGGCTTAATGTTTTCATTTTTTTTTTCCGAGACAGGGTTTTCTCTGTGTAACCACCCTTGCTCTGTAGACCAGGCTGGCCTAGAACTCATAGAGATCCACCTGCCTCTGCCTCCAAAGTGCTGAGACTAAAGGTGTGCACCACCACTGCTCAGCCACTGTTTTCAATTTTTACCTTGTTTTAAATGTTCCTAGTCTCAAGAGAGAACATCCATCTCATAAACATAAACTTAAAATTCTGGCTATAGAGTTTTAAATAAAGATGTTGTGAAGAAGTTTAAAACAAAGACAGGAACTGATGAGTAGTAAGATGGCTCAAGGAGTATCATCCCTAGGACTGGAGGAACTAACTTCTGCAAGTGGCCCTGTGACCTCCATGTAATGGCCTAAGTGAGCCCTTCTCCTCCCCAAGCACATCCATAAAGAGGCAGGAGAATTGCTATGAATTTGAGGCCAGTCTGGGCTATGGTGAGACATTGGCTCAAAACTAAAACAAAACCAAGCCATTCTGGCCTTCGCACTCGGTTCCAATCCAGCTAGTTACTGGGAGAGAAAATGTCTAAAAACAAACCACAAGCAAACAAAAATAAAAGTTGGGGATGGAACCTAACTGCAAAGCAAAGGTCCCCAAACCCCTTTTCTAGTTAAATTCTAACACAGAGCTAGCTCCAGAACTCGGGCCTGGTGAATATACTTTCCCCACCACAACTCCTAAGCATGTGACCCACACGATACCTTTAGAAATGCATCTTCGGTTTTGTTTTGTTTTGTTTTAGAAAGGGTCTCATTATGCAGCTCTTGCTTTCCTATAGCTCACTCTGTAGACCAGGCTGGCCTCAAACTCATAGAGAGATCCTCCTGCTTCTGCCTCCTGAGTGCTGGGATTAAAGGCATGCGCCACCACACCCGGCTTTGGAGACACATCTTGAGAGCCACAGAGGAGGCTTGCCCCATCACAGATCTGCTGCTAAGATGCAGTCATGCAGGAAGAATCAGTGTTGGCACACACTCCCAGAATGTCAATGCCAGAGCAGCTCAGGAATGGCAACCTTGTTAAAAGCCAGAGGCAGCTACCTGCATATCGGAGCAGGGTTACTTGTGTTGAATGTTCATTTGGAGTGGTTGTCAAAGGGTGTGCATGTATGCATGAGTGTGTGAGTGTGTGTGTACCTTTCTCAGGTTGTAGTTGGAGGGATAAGAGAACATAAAGTGGAAGTGGGGTGAGGTAGTGAGCTGGAGTGGGTGGAGAGATGGCTCATTGATTAAAAGCACTGGCTGTTCTTTCAGAGGGCCTGGGTTCAATTCCCAGCAACCACATGGCGGCTCACAATGCCTGTGTGAACACCTCCAGAGGATCTGACACTCTCACGTAGACATGCATGCAGGCAAAATACCAATGTACATAAAATAAAAATAAGTAAATCATTAAAAGGAGGAACACACAGGAACCCCACTGACAGGTCTAGACATAGGTCGGAGTGTGGGAAAGGCAGGTACCGAGGATGGTCACACTGTGGGGAAGGACTCCAGTCTCCCAGCTGTCCTGGAGCTCTTCCAAACCACACTTATGGGCAGCTCAGGGAAGCTATCAGGATGCTGGAAAGGACAAAAAGGGGACAAATTCCATAGGTGAAAATGTATATGAAAGCTGAGGATGAAGTGTGGGGGAAAATAAGGTGAAGAAAATTCCAGAGAGCCTGGGAGAAGAGGACAACCACTAACGGTGAACTACCTGCCCTTGGGTGACCCCATCCCTGGAAGTGATGGGCAGGACAAGGGCAGAGGACAGTGCAGCCTGTGAGCCTACCAAGAAGCCTGGAAACCACTGAGGAGACTAGAGAGATATCGGCCATGCTGCATTTCCCAGATGACTCCATTCTCTGTTACAGTGAGCCTGAGCCTGAGGAGATCTGTCCTGTTAGAGAGATCTGTCCATGGGCCTGAGAAGCCTTTGAAATGTCCTTTATTTTAGGGAAAAGGGGTAGGCAGCAATGACTGTGACTTAAAGGCAAAGGGGTATGTGTGTGTGTGTGTGTGTGTGTGTGTGTGTGTGTGTGTGTGTGAGAGAGAGAGAGAGAGAGAGAGAGAGAGAGAGAGAGAGATGTTTACTCCAGAAGGTCTGGATCTGTCATGGTGAAGGGACTTCAAGACAACCCTGAGCCAGGGCTGTTGTTGCCTGAGGCCTGAGGCAGGAGGAATTGCATCCTGCGCTATATATAGTGAGTTCCAGTGTGAGACCCTTTCTCAAAAATAAACCATACCAACAAAACAAGAAGGGGAGGTGGCAGACCCTAGATTGCTCTCCAATGTACCCAAAATTGGTCCCCAGTTCCCTGGAGGCCTTATTGGAGTTCTTTGGTTGCCAGAGCCAGTGACTTATATAAGCTGTGTATCTCCATAGTTAGCAGAGGGGTCCCCAGAAGCCATGGAGGTTCTGAAGGCTACGATCAGTAGGCAGTGTGGTAGCTTATTCCGATCTTAGATTGTCTTCCTGTTTCTTATCCCTAATGCCCAGACCTTGTCTTACAGGCTGGACTTTCACCAGGTGACACACATTAGTACGTCAGAGTCAGCTGGTATCAGCCTGGAACTAGCCCTGAGCCTGATTCATTCAGGAAGCTAAGCCAGGCCACAGAACAAAACACCGGCTCCTAGGAGGCCTGGAGTGAGAAGCCCCCCCCCCCCGCCCCTGCCCAACAGAAAGCAGAGAGCCGCTTGTTTGGTCTCTCTTCTATTCCTTTTTGTAGGGCTCCTTCATTTGTTTCCTCTGCCTATCTCTGGGTCAAGAGCTGTAGTTTTGTTTCCTTGATTTGTTTTAGGTGATCCCTGAGGAAGGGAGTCGGGCTGTAAAAGAGGGACCGTAGGGGCTTCTTTTTAGAAGATTCCAAAAGTGGAACCAGTTTTGGAATAGAATTAAGGAGTCAAAGGTCCCTGGGGCCACTCTCTCCCCAAGAGATGCCACCTGTCCACAGTTTAGGCAGATTCTGCTGTCTTCCTTGGATAGATCCTACAATCCTCACTTTCTGGTTCCAAAGCTCTTTATGGGTTTTGACACTAATTCGTGGACATTCAAAGATCACTTGGCTTTACTCGCAGCCCCCTCCCGACCTCCTGACAGCCATACAAAAAGCGTGGGAATCCCCTTCCAGAAGGAAGCAACGGTGCAGCTTTAACAGAAAGGGAAGGGAGGAAGAGGGCGCTGACTCAGAGTCTCTTACTATTGGCTGCTGCTGGGGATCCCACCTTAGGGATTGGTCGCTGCAGAGCCCGCCTCCTTTTGTGATTGGCTCAGCCTGGATCATATAACGGGGCCGTTCGGCCTCCGCCTCAGTTGGAGGCACGCAGGGAACCGGCACCCAGTCTCCGTGCGGATACTTCGGGGGCGACCTCCTCCTCGTTGAACCCGAGTCCAAGTCCCTTGGAGACTGCAGCCATGAAGGAGAGACGGGCGCTGCAGCCAGTGGTGGTCAGATGTAAGCTCGTGCTGGTGGGGGACGTGCAGTGTGGGAAGACCGCGATGTTACAGGTGTTAGCGAAGGACTGCTATCCCGAGGTGAGCCACCCGCTTTGCTTCCCCTGAGACCTGACCCACTTCTGTCGCCCGGTCGGCTCCTCCTCACCTCTATACCCATTATATCCCCTCCCACTTCGCTTCATTCCTGGGACCTGGAGGTTTCTGGAGAACCTGGGCTTTTATTCTTGACGCAGTACCTGCCTGGCCCTCCTGTAAGCTCTGTGAGGGTGGCCCTAGGCAGCAGGCTTCTGTTGCTTTCCGCTGATCACCTGTGCCAAGGGACTAGAGGGCAGGAGACGGAGATTAGAATTGGCTGTGGCTCTGAAAATGGGACACAAATCTAGGGACGAGAAGAAAATGTGAATGTAGGTTTCTCTGACCAGCCAGGATGTGGGGGACTTGTCCCAGGCTGGGGAGCAAAGGCCAGTATCCCTCAGGTCCTTCCCTCCTGTCTCACACAGTTCCTCCTGCCCCGTGTACCCCCCTCCTCTGGCTCTGCATCACCTGACGCTTTAGTGTTCCAGCGCATGTGTGAGTGGCTTCTTGTTGGGGTTCTGAGGGCATGCGAGCCCGGGTACGAATGTTTTCTCTCTCCTCACAGACCTATGTACCTACCGTGTTTGAGAATTACACAGCCTGTTTGGAGACCGAAGGACAGCGAGTGGAGCTCAGCCTCTGGGATACTTCAGGTAAGACTGGAGCTGCAAAGGCTCCATGCTACTCCACTGGCCAGCTGAGGCGGCTGCTTTTTTAGGGGAAGGAGGGATCCCCCTTTGAGGATAGAAGTGTTTGCCGGGAAAGAGAAGGAAGGTATGTAAAGATTCTTTAGCTAGCTCTCTTGGATGATTCGGGAAAGTGGTGAACAAACCCCAAGAGCCATTTATGCCTCTCTCTGGTCTAGTTCCATTTTTTTCAGAGGGCTGCGGAAGGGACCTCTGAGTACTCCCGGGAGCACCAGACAGGTCTTCCCGATTCTCACACACACATACACACATTCTCCGCCCTCCTCTCCCTCCCTCCCCCTCTCCCTTTCTCTCTCTCTCTCTCTCTCTCTCGCGCGCTCTCTCTCTCGCTCTTTTCCTCCCTCTCCTCTGCCTCTCTGCCTTTAGTTCTCTGGAGCAAAGTTAAATGAGCGGTAGGAGGCTGCTGCTAGAGGCAGCTGTACTGGGGCACAGACGCGCCGCCGCTGCCGCCGCCGCCGGCGGCTTTGGAGGGAATATTGCTCTCCCTCTCCGGCCACTGCTGTCTGCTTGCCGCAACTCAGCCCTTCCCGTCAGAGGCTGCGGCTCAGGGATGAAGCGATACATCATCGATGTTTTGGAGGGTGGAGAAGATGGTAAATGTAGGGCATGGTCACATCGGGGTTAGTGTCCAGGAGAGTGCATGGGTTTGGTTGTTTTCATTTCTACCCGTACTGGGATGAGGTTGGAGACCCCCACCCCCACCCCCGTCTTTCAAAAATGTAGAAAGCAATGTTGTCAGTGTTTCCCCACTCTCCACCCAAAGCCCTTAGAGCTCAGCTAACATTTGCTTTGCTTCTGAGCCCTTCCCACTTTCTCTACCCAGTCCCTCTTTTTTAAGTCTATCTCAGACATAATTAAGGAGTAAGAGCCAGCAAAATGAGAAAGAAAAGAAGATCCATGCTTTACCAGAAAATATTTTTTTTACATATTTAAGCTGAGTTTGAAGAGGAATTGTAAATCACTAAGGCTTTTCTACATGTGTGAAATATGCCACCCTACTTCTCTGAAGGAACCTTGTTCCTGTTCTCCAGTATTGAGGTCTGGAGATGAGGGATGGGTAAACAGAAAATGATAGCTACTTCTTTATCTCTCTCCACAATCAAAATTCCTCAGGCTGCTACTCGTTCCTCCGTTGCAGTTCCAGGAGAGGGAGGCAGGGTTCTGGTTATCCTGGACTGTGCTATGCTGGCTGGATCGGACCAGAATGCAGCGTGGCTGCATGATTTGATGTATGGTTTTTCTCCTGCTGTACCCTCCCACCTTCCAGTCGTTCCTGAACCTTGCTGCGGTTCATCTCTTCATTACCAACCTCTCTGCTCCCCCCCCCCCCAGCCCTTGAATCCCAAGCCCAGATGATGGAGTATCAGCAAGTATGATCTTTCTACCCCAGGTCACACCCTATCCCTTCATTTCACACGGTTGTAGGCAGTCAGTCACCCTTCTTTCAGATTAGGTTCCTGTCAGGACAGTGGCGTTTGGGCCATGGTTGAACCTGTCTCTGTTATTCAGTTGCTGGCCTTAGGGGAGGGGGATTGCTTGGAGCCAAAATGGAGACCTACTCCCCTCCCCCTCCCCCAGTACCGCAGCGCTCCCCTGCCTCAGTGCTGCTGTGATCCAATCCCCACCGCACCCCCAAAAGAGATGGGGGTGGATTGCTGAAGGAGCAGGCAGCTATCCCAACTCCCCCTTACTTCTTTTTTTTATGACGGACACCCCCACCTCAGCTTGGATTCCCCCCAGTTTCCATGGTGATTGCAGTACAGGGAGAGGGGCTGCTTGCTATTCTAAGCACGGATTGTCTGGATTCCAAATCTGCTACTGTTCCTTCCTCAGGGTGGAGGGGGCCAGGCTCAGCTCCTGGTCTTCACCCCACCAGACCCTGGGTCAGGGTTGCTTTCCCCAAGGCCCTTGCCTTCCCTCCACCAAGAAATCTTGCTCTCACACTAACTCCACAGCTGATCAGTGTCTTTGAGATTGCCTCCCTGAGATCTAAGGGGTGAGGGTCACAGTATTCCCTCTGCCCTTTTCAGTGTAAGCTGACTTAGGTGGGTAAAGGAGTAAAACACTAAATAAATCCTGGATGCCTTCCCTCCTGCCCGCCCCAATAAGCTCCTGAAGGTCTGACCCCGAGGTAAGGAATCAGAGCAGGCAGTTATGTAACAGGCAGGGTTATTTCTTCCCTGGGAGACCCTGGAGTGGAAGAATGGAGCGGAGGCTGGGCAGCAGGCAGGCTTAGATGATGTGAAGGGTACCAGAAACAAACCCTTGTCTCTCCAAAGGTACCAGGGCTTCTTCTGGGACTCTGAATATGAGTAGATCTCGAATTAAACCCACTGTGGGAAACCCGGACAGGGTCCGAGTTTACTTTACCCACATTTGCTTTCTGCTCTTTTAGGACCAAGGGAAATGGTATTCTGGCAGGTGGTCATGTCCCAAGCTTCCATGCAGTACCACTGTGGGACATGCATGTTAAGGGTTTAAGAAGTACATTCCCCAGGGATCCTTGGGCTTAGGCCTGTAGAGAAGGGAAGATACCATGACCCACTCTCAGCTCTTCTCCCCTTACACCAGGGTCTCCTTACTATGACAATGTGCGTCCACTCTGCTACAGCGACTCGGATGCAGTGTTATTGTGCTTTGACATCAGCCGTCCAGAGACTATGGATAGTGCACTCAAAAAGGTAAGGCTATGCTTGAGGTAGGGGTGCATGTAGTCATCCAGCTTCTGGGGGTGGGGGCTGAAGCAAAAGGATCTTAAGTTCAAGTTCAGCTTGGGCTATGGAGCCAGTTCAAGACAGGCAATTTAGTGAGACTTTCTCTCCAAATCAAAATAAAATAGGGCTGAGGATGAATCTTAGTTGGTAGTGAATGCTCCCCTAACATAAGCAAGGTGGGGGGTGTGAAAATATAATCTGTAGTTTCTCCCCTTGTCCTCCAATCCTCCTGCCTGTAAGCCAGGAAAGCAGTGTTGTGGTTGAAGAAGCCTCACCGTCAGCTGTGGCTCTGGGTTGAATCCGGGTCTCCTGCCTCCCAGCCTTCTGCTTTTTCCTTACCTTGTACTACTCTTCCAGAGGTCCAGCTAGAAAGGGATGTACTGAGGGCTCAGAGAATCCTCTGGTAATGTGAGGAGTTTTAGAAGCAGCTTCTGTGGACCGTGATCCCAGGCAGTTCAGGGTCATCAGCTGATGGAGGTGCCTGGGTCTGAGATCTGCCTACAAGACACTGAGACAGACCTGCAGGAAGTGGTGTGGGACTTGCCTAGCTCCTCAGGGAAGAGATTGCTTCACACACACACCCCCACTGGCATCCTGGGTTTGTTTGCCTTTTGACTGGGGAAAGAAGACAGACCATGTCTTCCCTGTGTGGCAGGGAGTGGGAGACTTGTCATGTTTCCCTTTGGTGACTGTGCTGTTGACTGAAGGGACAGGCTCCTGGGTTAGCACACTGGTGCCACCAAAGGCCTCATGGTCAGGAAGATGATGTCATTAGTGCAGCAGGGATACTGTGACTCAGACAAGGACTCAGCTTTGATACTGAGTGACGTGCTCCATGCTGCCAGCCAGACTTCTCCTAGTATCTATCCGCCACTGACTTTCTCTCCTTTCCCCTTCCCCTTCCTCTTCCCCTCTTGCCCCAACCCTCAGTGGAGAACAGAAATCCTGGACTATTGTCCCAGCACCCGTGTGTTGCTTATTGGCTGCAAGACAGATCTGCGAACAGACCTGAGCACTCTAATGGAGCTTTCCCACCAGAAGCAGGCGCCCATCTCCTATGAGCAGGTGTGTGTGTGTGTGTGTGTGTGTGTGTGTGTGTGTGTGTGTGTGTATGTGCTGGAGGGTGAGGTAGAGAAGGCTATAGCAGAGGGCTTAGATATAGCTCTTGATTAAACTCTTTCTATATGACAAGATAGAATTGATATTGGGGGCTGCTATAAATAGCAAACTGTCATGTGGGTTGGGGTAGCAGATACTTGTTAACTGAGATTCCTGCTGCAGGTTAGCTCTCAAGCCTCTCCTGTGTGCCAGCTTTTAAGGTTCCTTTTTTTTGTAAACCATATGCATCAGACTCATTAAAGATACTTGTTAGAGCTGGATGTAGTCTGTAATCCCAGAACTCAGGAGGGATTCCTGAAGGCAGAAGAATTTCAAATTTGAGGCCAGCCTGGCTGCATAATAAACTCAATCTCAAAAAAATAAAAACTGGCAAACAAAGAGGAGTAAATGATAGAATTTTTGGATTCCAAGCTCCATGTCTACAAAATAACTCCAGGAGAAAGATATAGACATCTGCATTTTTATAACAAGACCCAAGGATAATTTTTAATGAATTATTAACTTTTCTGGTGTGTGTGGTGTGTGCCATGCCCATGTGTGGAGGTCAGAAACACATTTCAGGAGTTGGTTCTCTCCTTCCACCATGTATGTTTCTGGGATTGAACTCAGGTTGTCAAGCTGAGCCACCTCACTAGCTGCAAGGATAATTTTTAATGCACATAGGAGTGTAAGAATGTCTGATGGCTGGGCAGTGGTGGCATACTCCTTTAATCCTGGCACTTGGGAAGCAAGTGAGTCTGTGAGTCTGAGGACAGCCTGGTCTACTGGATGTGACCTTTTCAGCCTGGATGTGACTTTTTCAGATGGCCACAAAGTGAGTTCCAGGGCAGCCAGGGCTGTTACACAGTTAAGATTTCCCATGAGAGTCACCTGGGAGAACTCTTTAAAATACCAAATACACACAGACACTCACACGAAATAAGCATATGTAAAAGTTTTTTAATGATAATATCAAGACTGGGGGTGTGGTTGATACATGGTTAGCCTGCATGAAGTCCTAGGTCCCATCACCAGTACCAAGACCTAAGACCTAATGCCTATGCCATCCCCAGACATCCTGCTGTACCTGGTTTGAAATCAGTACTCTTTTTAAAATGTTGTAGGTGATTCTGGCATGCAGTCACTTTTATGAATAACTGGCAGTTGGGATGTCATCTGGAATAGCCCTGAGGAGTGACACGTGGGATGTCATGGTGTTTCCTAGGCATTTTATAGACCACTGTATTAATGACCGCACTCTTCCCATAGGGCTGTGCAATAGCCAAGCAGTTGGGTGCAGAAATCTACCTGGAGGGCTCAGCTTTTACTTCAGAGAAGAGTATCCACAGCATCTTCCGGATGGCATCCATGGTGTGTCTGAACAAGCCTAGCCCAGTGCCCCCGAAGAGCCCGGCCCGAAGCCTCTCCAAGCGGCTTCTCCACCTCCCCAGTCGCTCTGAACTCATCTCTTCTACCTTCAAGAAAGAAAAGGCCAAAAGCTGTTCCATCATGTGAAGTCGGAGCCGGAGGGGGGGGAGACAGCCCCCCCACTTCCTCCCTTGGGGTGCAGAGGCACGGGAAGAGGGAGGATGAGATGGTTTAAGACCCTGGATGTGACTTTTTCAGATGGCCACAGTAAGGATTTAGGAGACAGGAATGGGATGGAAGAAGAAGCCAGGCCTGGCAGGAGGGCCTGACATTAAGCAAGAACCATCACACCCCAAGCCAGGCACTAGGCTGTGGACGAGCAGTTGCCCAGTGTCCCCCTACTCCAGAGAAAGGAAGGGTGTTGGGGGGATGGGGACATGCTGGCCTCATCTTCAGCGTCATGCCTCTTCCATACAGTGTTCCCGTGCAGACTGGGGATGGGAGGGGCCCTTGAGCCCTCCCCTTCCCCTTAAAGAAGTGGCAGGGGACTGGACAGTGGGAAAGCCCAGAGGCAGCTCCCTTGGGGGCTTAGCTCAGGTGCTTCATAACTGAAACCAGGAGGGCAAGGGCTGATCAGAGCTGGTAAGGAATCCTCATCTTTTCATAGCCCATGCGTCATGGAGAGGTGACATCATACATTCATATGCTTCTCACCGAAGTCCCCAGGGCCCAAGGGAGAAGCCCCAGACCCCCTTCTCTTGCAGAATGTGGGGGTGGTGGTGCTGCAGGGGCAGGACTGATGGGGGTTACCAGACTTTCCTGCCCGTAGGGCGGTACAGTTGGTATTTGTTTTATAGACTTGTCTTTGGAATTGGGGGGAGGGGGGAGTGTTTCAATCTGTTATATGTTCTGTGTTTAAAGAAGAAAACCTATTTATTAATGAAATATAACATATGAAGAAGTTGGTTGTTTTTGTTCTTTGATTTTTGGTAACTGATGATCAGGGGAATGCTGTTTTGAATGCTGTTCTGTAGGTTCGAGTGGCAGTCTCCGTGGTTCCCTAGCACCTTGTCCCACTTGTCCCAATCCCACTCACACCCTCCTAAGTCAAAGAAGAGCTCCTTAGCCCTGGGTTAGGGCTTCTGCTGCTCAGAATGCTGACACTGGACAGGAGAATAGTTTTTTGTAAGGGGCTGTCCTCTGTAGTGTGTGATGTTCAGCAGCAGCCTGGGTGTCCCTGGTTCTGGATGAGAGTAGCATGCTCCAGTTGTCACAGTCAGAAATGTCTCTAGATATTGCTGAATGTCCTCTGGATGAAATCACTTCCTGTTGAGGACAATTGGCCTAGAGCTGTGGTTCTCAACCTTCCTATCACTGAGACCTTTTAATACAGTTCCTCATTTGGTGGGAACCACCCATATTATTCTGTTGCTCTCCCACAACTGTAATTTTGCTACTGTTAGGAATCACAATGTAAACATCTGATGTGCAGGATCTCTGATGTGTGACCACTAAGGGGTTGAGAACCACTGCCCTACAGACACTGAAGAAGAAAGAAAGCTCACCTCAAATAGAGGCTCAAGATGCTGAGTCCCACTCCCAGCAGGTGCTACATAGGCTAGTTCAAAGCCCATTGAAAGCTCCTGGGGTTACCATTTCCTGTGTTCAAGGAGAGGTGCTCTTTGTTATTGATTTTCCAATTCTAGTGTTCATTGATGGTAGCTCAGGAGTTTTAACATCTCTTATAGCTCTTTTCCAAGGTTCATAGAATAGTAATAGAAATTAAAAGTTATTATGGGGACGGGGAAGATAGCCCAAGGTTTAAAAACACTTCTTATTCTTACAGAGGACCCAGTTCTGTTCCCAGCACCCACACAGTGACTGGCAACTGTTTGTAAATGCAGTTCCAGAGGATTTTATGCCCTCTTCTGGCCTCCATGGATACTGCATGCATGCGATACAGACAAAATACCTATATGCATAAAATTTAAAAATCTTTTTTAAAAAAAGTTGCTATGACTATGGTGCGTACTTGGAATCCCAGTATTTGAGGGGCTGAGGCAGGAGAATTGTGAATTCTAGGACAGTGGGGTATGGTGTAGGAAAACCTTGTCTCTAAAAGAAGTTACTATGCCTCTGCTTTTGAAAAAAAATACTTTTCTTTTTCTTTCTCTTTCTTCTCTCTCTCTCTTTCTCTCTCTCTCTCTCTATCTCTCTTTTTGAGACAGGGTTTCTCTGTGTAACAGCTTTGGCTGTCTTGGAACTTGCTTTGTAGACCAGGCTGGCCTCGAACTCATAAGAGATCTACCTGCCTCTGCCTCCCAAATGCTGGGATTATAGGTGTGTGCCACCCCACCTGGATCTTTTTATTTTCATTCATGTGTGTATGTGTGTCTGTGTATAGGTGTGTTCATGTGTGAATGCAGGTGCCCTTAGAGACCAGAGGCATCAGACCCTCTGGAGCTGGAGTTAAAAGTTAATTATGAGCTGCCCTATGTATGATGTGTGTGGCAGGAGTTGAAGTCAGGTCCTCTGAAAGATGCTATTAATTGCTGAGCCACCTCTCCAGCCCCATCCTATGCATCTGCTTTAAATAATCAAATTTAACCTCATAAAACAAAACTAGTTAATATTTGTTATATGCTTGCTATGTGTCAGAGCACTTTATATTCTGTGATAAGCTTTTCAGTTATTACCTATTTCATTATACAGGCAAGGAGGTCCAGAGAGATTCATATACCCAAACCATGCATGTGGAGTATTAAAACATGGATACAGCTGGGCCGTGATGGTGCACACCTTTAATCCCAGCACTTAGGAGACAGAGACAGACGGATCTCCCAGTTCCAGGCCAGCCTGGTCTACAGAGTAAATTCCAGAACAGCCAGGGAGACACAGAGAAACTCTGTCTCAAAAACCAAACAAAAACAAACATAGATATAAATTCAGGAAGTCTGGCTCTAGAACATTTTTTTGAGACAGGGTTTCACTGTATAACCACAGGTGACTTGGAAGTCACAAAGATCTGCCTCCTGAGGGCTGATATCGAAGGTATGCACCAGCATGCCCCACTGCTGAGACCCAGGATAGTTTCAAACTTGCTACATATCAGGAGATGACCTTGAGCTGATCCTTCTGCCTCTACCTCTCAAGTGCTGGGATTGCTGGGATTGCAGGGATTGCAGGGCTGTGCCACAATGTCTGCCTACCAAGCCTGGCATTTAAATGTGCACTGAAACATGTTTTCTTTTGCTTCTCTTTCCATCTGTCCTTTCTCCTCTTTCCCAGCTTCTCGCTTTTAGTCTTGCTCTCTAGAGCTCTCTCTGAGGTAGTGCTCTGTTGAATTGCCTGGAATGGACTCACACTCTGGGCTTACATGATCCTTTCAACTCAGCCTCCTGAGCAGTTGGCACTTGTCATGTATCTGGCAACATAATATGCTTATTTATTTACTTATTTTGTGAGGAGGGCAAGAGTTCAATCTGGGTCGTTTGCTTTGTTTTTAGTTTTTTGAGACAGAATTTCTCTGTGTAGCCCATGCTGTCCTGGAACTCATTCTGTAGACCAGGCTGGCCTGGAACTGGGAGATCCGTCTGTCTCTGTCTCCTAAGTGCTGGGATTAAAGGTGTGCACCACCACCACCACCACCACCACCAGGGGTCTTATATAGTTTATGTTGGCCTTGAACTTACTTAGTAGCTAAGAGTGACCTTAAACCCCTGATACTTGTACCTCCACCTCACAAGTGCTGGTATTACAGGCACGCATCATCATGCCTGGCAGAATATGCACTTTTAACTGCCTTGCTAGCCCATCTTGTAAGACAAGGAATATTCTTATTTCTGTTTTATAAGTGAGGAAATAGAAAAGCCTATATAATATACAACAATATGCATATTATACAGTATATATAATATATTATGTAATTATGTTTTAATGATATGCATGTTATATAATATGCATTTAATGTGTATACTATATAACAAGCAGAATAGCATACTTAGTTAGCATTCAAACCAAATCTCACTATTAACCATATTGCACATACCCCTTATTATTAGCCATGTGGCTAAATAGGAGACTAGCTTTGATACTTACCAAATATAATCTGGGGGCTGGAGAGTGGCAAACATGAGTGGTACTCATGGGTTCAAATCCTTGAACCCATATGAAGCTGTATATGCCGAATGTCTATAAATCCCAGGGCTCCTCAGCAAGATGGGAGGTAGAAAGAAGGTGACAGGTAGGGACTGAGACTACAGATTGTCATGTGACCTCCCACAGTGGTAAGCCTGTGCCCACACACATGAACACTCATTGCACACACACCCAATACAAACATTCCCACATTAGTCTTTATGTCCTTAATCACAAGAATAAATGTTTTCGAGAGAGCTAGAAGAGCAAAGTCAACAAGTGTCTTGAAGGTCAGTGTCTTCCTTGCATGTGTCAAGAGAGTACAGAGTACTAGGGAATTGTCACTGATGAGTCTTTTCATCTTTCTGAGTCTCAATTTACTCTTTAAAAATTGTTCATTTAGGGCTTGAAGAGATGGTTCAGCAGTTAAGAGCACTGGCTGTTCAAACAAAAAATAAATAAAAACAACAAACAAATCCATACACATAAAATTAAACAAATCTAAAGAGATCATCATTATTATTATAGTATTCTGAAAATAGGGAATGATAGGAACTCTCAAATCAAACAAACCTGAGGAAATCAGATCTCCATATTTTAACTTTGTGGGCTTGGAAGGCATAGGTATTAGGCCACACTCCTTATCAGTAAAACCAAAGGATGCCCATGTCATACTGATATGACAACTGAGTAAGACAAGCAGCCTAAGTGTCTAGCCAGAGCTGGAAGGGATTGGCATTAGGAAGACTGTCAACAGCTGAAGGGTTCTAAAACTCCCAGCCACCTTTGGTCTGTAGGGTTTTTTTTTTTTTTTTTTTTTTTTTTTTTTTTTTTTTTTTTGTTTCAGTCTGTGAGTGGAGAGCCCTCTAGTGTTCATTATTCCCAATAGATCTCAGACTGACTGAGCCCTCCCTGTGCTAGAAGTTGCAATGTATAAGGTTACTAGAGCTCTCCTAAAGTCTCCTAAACTACACAGAGCACTGTCTGTGAAGCTGAGATTTTGGATTGGGATATATTCGGAGACCCTGTTTGAGAACAGAAAGAATATATAGAGTGAAAAAAAAAAAGAGACTGGAGGCTGGAGAAATAAATGACTCAGCCATAGGACCACTGGGTTCTCTTCCAGAGGATCCAGGTTCAATTCCCTGCACCCACATGGCAGCTTACAACTGTTTGTAACTCCAGTTCCAGGGGATCTGACACCCTCACACAGACATTCATGCAGGCAAAACACCAATGCACATTAAATAAAAATAAAATAAACAAATAAAAAGGCAAACCAGGCCAACAACTCTGTGGGATTAAAGCAAAGTTGATGGGGAAATGTTGTTTAAGGAAGTGCTGGGTACCCCAGTTTCTCTCAGCCATCTTAGCAGGTACAACTTTCATTTTGTTTTGGCGGGTGCTGATGGTGCAGTTTGAACCAAAAAGGAAGAAAGTGGGTATGTGATTAGAAGAAAAATTCAGTGGACCGATGGAGGGAGAACCTGAAGGAAGAAACCAACAATAACAAGTGGCCCAAACAGCCCAAATGATCCTGAAGAAAATAATTTTCGTGGGTCCCATCTGGGATGTTGAGTCAGCAGTAAGAGTTTAGGAGAAAGTCCTTCCTGGGAAGTCTTTGGAATGTCGGTTTATTATTTAGTGGGGGGGGGGGCTTGGAGCATTAAGGAATTCACCCTACTGGGGCTGGGGCTCAAGATTGTTAAAATACCTTCCTACGATTGGGGTAGTTCTACCATGAAAACTGTACTACCTTCATAGGCTGCTCCAGTTAACTAACTTT